GTCACCGCTCTGTGCTCCAGCTGACGGGACGGGGCACTGGGCTGATTTACACCAGCTGAGGATCTGGCCCCCTGAGGGCAGAATCAGGCCCCGACGTTGCCAGTGAAATTTCTGCCCCCGACGCTTCTGTCCCGCAGCGTCTCCCTCGAGTCTGCGCCGGTCCACACGGCTCCAGCACGCGGCTCTGGCTGGGATCGTGGTGAGCCGGGTGGGGAAGTGCCTGGGGAGAGACCCCCACGTCAAACTGCCTGCGGCTGGGGCCCTCTGCCTAGGATCCTGCCCCCCCCCCACTGCCCACTGACTCCAAGGGGGCGTGGCCGGCGCAGGGAATGCAGGTTTTTGCCTTGTACATTTCGCCCATTTAGTCACCTGGGCCCCCCATTCACAGCGAGGAGAAGAGGCTCGCAGAGCAGATCTGTCTGCACCATGTGTCCGTCTGGCCACCTGGCACATGGGGGCCCCCGTGTTAGAAACAAATCCAAGGCCGTGTTCTCATGGGCTAGGGGCACCGGGCGCGGCTCCCCCCTCTGCCTGCCCCGCTCAATGCGACGGGCTCCCTGCTGGTGCAGCGGGGACAGGAACGGGGCCCAGGCTTTGTGCAATTCAGGCTGGTGCAGGAAAGACCCAGGGATCGTGTCTGGGGCTGAAGAAGCCGGTTCCCCAGCTGCCCTTGATCCCCTTGGGTCTCAGCCGTATTGTAGTAACCCTTGTAGGCTCCTAACCCCCCTGGACACCGGTGCTCTTTGGGAGGTTTCCCGGGCCACTCCCAGGAATGGCAGAGCCAGGTGGGATCGGAGGGGGAGGGGTCGATCAGGCAGCTGGAAAGGGACGCAGATGCACCACCGGGCTGGGGATCTCAGGGACCTGCCTGAAAGAGTCTGCGTGGCCCAGTCATCAGCTCCCCGTGTCCCCCTTACACAGCCCCTGGGAGAGCTCCCGCCAGCTCCCTCGATTGCAAACCCCGCTGCAGGCTGGGATTTCCTGGACACACATGGGCCAGCAACCAACAGGCCGGAGCCAAAGGCGGCCGAGGTGGGCATAGGGGAAACGCTATTTACCTCTCTGCATTCTGAAAACTGACCATTTATTCCTACCCTTTGTTTCCTGTCTTTTACCCAGTTACCGATCCATGAGAGAACCTTCCCTCTTATCCCATGACAGCTTACTTTGCTTAAGAGCCTTTGGTGAGGGACCTTGTCAAAGGCTTTCTGAAAATCTAAATACATTGTATCCACTGGATCCCCCTTGTCCACATGCTCGCTGACCCCCTCAAAGAATTCTAGTAGATTGGTGAGGCGTGATTTCCCTCTACAAACTCCATGTTGACTCTTCCCCAACAAATTATGTTCCTCTCTGTGTCTGACCATTTTGTTCTTTACTATAGTTTCAACCAGTTTGCCCGGTACTGAAGTCAGGCACTGAGCACTGATGTGCTTTGAGATCCTCACGTCACAGGCACCACATGAAGTGTCAAGGATCATTCACGATGGTTTAGTGATGAAAGGCTCCTTCCCATTAGTAAAGAGCCCTGGATGCCCCGCTCAGAGCGGGACGGCGTCTCTCCGGCAAATCCAATGAAGTCCAGAGCTGCAGGCGTCAGAATGAATCCATTTCCCCCACACTGCCCCACAGCTGTTCTCAGCCGGGCCTGGTGCCTGGAACCTGCGGGACAAAGGAGAGGGCCCCTGTCAGCGCGTGTGGGTCCATCACACGCAGTCGGTAGCGGCTCTTCCCTGTTCCAACGGGATCCGCAGCCGTCGTCTCCTCCAGCTCTGCCCTGGGGCTGCCCCCTCTCCCCACTGTCAGGGCCCTGGCCAGGGTCTCAAATGGCCTCTCCCTGCCCAGAGCCCAGGGACCTGCTCCAGCCTCATCCTCCCTGCTGGGCTAGACCCCGTCCATCTCCCTCCCCTGCTCCACGTCTCTTCCCCACCGGACTGGGCAGACGCTGCCCCCTCCTGGTCCCCTCCTGCCTCTCCGGCTGCTCTGTGTCTCCATCTCCCCCCACCCCATTGTCTGGGGGATCCCCAGGGCTCCGGCCTGGCCCCTTTGCTCTTCTCACTCCACACCCATCTCTGAGCCACCTCCCCCGCCCCCAGGGCTCCAGCTACCATCTCTGTGCTGGGGATGCGCAAATCTCTCCCTGCCCCATGGCCCTGTCTGCTCCCACCCAGCCCCCCTCAGCCGGGCTCCCCAGCCCCCCTCCTGGGGTCTCAGCATCGTCTGACACTGAACACAGCTCCTCCTGAGCTCCCGACCTTCCCCCCAAACCTCCCCCAGCCCTGGCCCTGGCCCTGGCCCCTTCTGCCCACAGAGGGGAGGGAAAGTGTTTGACTCAAGGAATCACTCACAGGCTCTGATCCAGCCGGGAACCGTCTACCCAGATCCAGGCCTTCTCCGAGGAAGAGATGGACAGTCCGATCCAGAACAGATGTGAATGTTTTGTCAGGTCCTTTATGAACTCCTGCAGTGAGTGTGTGACGGGCAGCTGGTGACCAGACGTGCTGTCGGGCTCTTTTCTTGTGAATCCAGGTTATCAACAACGTCTGTCTGTCCATCTATCCCTATACACACCCATTCTCCATCCCCATACATCTAACCCCATACACACCCATCTATCTATCCAACTATCCCCCATAGACACCCCTCTATCCATCCATCCATCCCATTCCATCCCCGGTCTCTCTATAACCACCTGTCCTCACACACACCCAGCCCCTCTCTCCAGCTCAGCTGCGTTGGGCACACCCCAGAAGGAGGGGTACACCAGGGGAGGGTACCAGTGGCTTTAAGCCGCCTTTGTGTGCCCCTGATCCGGGGGCTAGTGATTTAGGCTGGGATTGTCAAAGCTGCCTTGGGGGTTTGGACACCCCATTATCAACAATTAATGTGAATGGGGTATCCAAATCCCCTTTACCAGCTCCTCAGGGTCCTGGATCACCAGCAGTTGGGAGTCCCTCGCTGAGCAGTCGGCTCGGCTTTCGCTCCACGTTTTACGTCCTCTGGAGACCCAGTAGCACTTGTCCCCGCGCAGCTGCCAGTCCGTGGGGCAGAGTTTGCACCCAGAGCCCCCTGCAGACAGACAGGCGTCATTAATGCTCTGAGCCCTCTGGGCCTCATTCCCAGCTACTCCTGTCATGTGACTGGGGCAGGAACGGGATTCAAATGGGTTTGAGTCCCCTTTGTGCTCCCTGAAATCTGGGGCTGGGCCGGCCCAGCCTGTCTCCTAGTTTAAGTTAGAGCAGCCTTGGGGTTGCTCTGCCTTATCCAGTGCTCCCATATAGGCCCTGGGAAGCAGAGAACACCCATAGGCACTGCACTCTAGCCACACTGCCAAACTGTCCCCATTTTGGGGGTTGGGGACAGGGTGGGTGAGGGCCCTTACCCCAGCTCCACACCAGCCTGAGAGGCCCCCCCACGATGGGGGACATTCTCAGGGGCCCATGGACCCACTTTAAGGCCCCTTTACATGGCCAGAATGGCCTAGAAGGGTCTTGGAGTAACTGGGGGGAAGGGGTGGTGTTAAACTGGGAACAGGAGGGGAGGCTGGGACCCAGGGGTGATGGGGAATGGGTGGGGACGTGGGCCCAGATGCCAGGGAACGGGAGGGGGTGGGACCGTAAGACAATCTCACTAATAAGATGTGAAACCCCCCCACACACCCTGAAAAAAAATTGGACAGCTTTGTATTACATTGTTATTAAAATTTTCATGGCTGGGTATTACCCTGAATGGCCACTAGATGTCGCTGCCCCATGCACAGTCCCAGTTGAGGCAGGTGCATTCAGAGCCTGGCACCGAGCCGGGCTGGTGGCTAGATCGGTGCAGCCAGCAGGGGGCGGCGTGTCCCTGCCCTGCAGGATCCCCAGGGGCTGGGACGGCAGCTGGGTTCCCACTGGCCGTGCCCGGGGCAGAGGGCGGCTCAGAGACACACGAGCTGGGGTTACCTGCTGGGCCGGGCGGGGCCGGGTGGCACAGACGTTGGCTCAGCTGGGATCGGAAACGCTCCAGGCGGGCGCTGCATTCTGCTGTGCTGGGGTCTGCGCTCCCAGCTCCGTCGGTCCCAGGGACTGCCGGGGTCGGTCCCTTCTCAGACACCAAGTGGGAAACTGCAAAGCAGCGTCGGTGGGAGTGAGGGCGACTGCTCAGTGTTGTGGGAGTTGCTGGTAAAAGCACCAGCACAGAGCCCTGCGGAGACACAGGGCCTGCCCCAAAGCCTGTTCTGCCCCATCGCCACTGACTCCAATGGACTTTGGAGCAGCCCCAAAGGGACACGGTCTGAAAAAGTGTCCAGGATTGAAAATCACTGGGAATTAGGTGCCTAAATACCTTGGGCTTCTTTGCAAACCCAGCCAGTGTTTCACCCATTCCCACCCTCAAACATCCCCCAAAACTGGCTGCGTGGGGATGGCCAGACTGAATCAGACCTGGGGCCCATCTAACCCGGTATCCCATCTCCAAGGGTGGACAGCCCCAGCTACTTCTGAGCAAGGGGCAAGACACCCCCTAGTGGACAATGAGAACTTGTCCCTCAAGTCGGACCCTTCCTGCCCATCAGTTAGGGGTTGATTGATGCCCTGAAGCAAGAGGGTTTATAGCCCCTGCCAAAGCACTTGGTACTTCCTGGCCCCCGGCTGGTCTCATATATGTGTCCTGATCCTTCACTGAGCCCTGCTAAGCTTATGGCCCCAGTGAGATCCTGTGGCAGTGGGTTCCACAGGATAATTGTGACTGAGATTCAGTTTTCAATGTGCCGCCTCTCAATGTCACTGGCCGTCCCACCCCCAGTGTCGCATCCACGCTGCAGACTGACGCACCCGGACAGATAAAGCTACAGCCTTCGGTGACTCACCACACACTGCCAGCAATATCACAGCCACTGCCAGGATGAGATTCCCAGCCCCTAGAGCGACCTGAAGCCAGCCAGGACACTGACAGGAACCTGTAATCAAACACAAGCAGAGCCAGGCTGAATTAAGGCCCAGCCACTCTAGATCCTGGCCTCTGGCCCCAGCTCCAGGAGTCAGGTGATTGTATAAGGGTCTCAGCTTTCATTTAGAAGAGAAATGCAGTTTTCAGGCCCCACGGCTGGGGAGAAAAGATTGAAAATGTGACCCCAAGTGTTACGGATACAGCAACGCTGCCTGAGTTTGCACGGAGCCTGCACCAATTGCTCTGAGAGCAGGGCTCTGCTCCATGAATCGCAAGAACCACTGTTTTGGAAACTCTGCAAACCCCACCTGAAACCCTGGTTTCTATGACCAGATATGGGCAGGAAACGAGGTCTAGTAGGTTGGAGCAGTAGGGCTGGGAGCCAGGACTCCTGGGCTCTAGCCCCAGCTTGGGAAGGGGAATTGGGTCTAGTGGGTGTGTCTTCATGAAAGATTTTTTTCTCTCATCTGTGCCTCAGTTTCTCCCATTTGACCCACCTCTTTGACTTCAGAGGGGAAAGCTCCCCGTGAGCGCTCCCACTCTCGCTCTGCTACTTTGTGGATCCCCTACGCTCTTTACCTCTGTCTGTGGCCCTACCCCACCCTGTGATATAACCACATGGCCAGACTCTGCCAGCCCCTGGCCAGTCTCTGGGGTCCCAGCCCTGGCTCTGCCCCTGCTGCCAGGACATGGAGCCCGTAGGTGGGAGAAGGGGATTGAAATTGCTACCTTGGTTCCCGGCTGGGGACGGGCCACCAGAGCCATCCCGCTTGGGCCGCAGGTTCAATGCCTTGTATCCTTCCTCGTCCTCCATCGTCTCCAAGTGAGAGGAGGCGGTGAAGGCGCAGGCAGGGGGTGAGGGGCTGGGCTGAGATCGCACAGGAAACTGAGCCGCTGGGCTGCAGCCGCGTGGTTGGTGGGGCCAGGGTCAGAGGCTCCGTCCTGAGTTTCCTCTCTCTGCTCTGGAAGATTTTGGCTCTGTAACATGAAAGCTCCCAGCCAGATCCAGACACCCCTCCCCCTCCACTCCCTGAGGGGGATCAGCTGCCCTGACACCAGGGTGAGGGGCGCAGTGTCAAAAATCTGAGCTCAGGTCTGGACAACATCAGAGCCTCAGCAGGTGCCGCTCAGAATCAGTCCCACTGATTGACCCCAGCCTGGGATCGGGCCCAGCGAGTGCCTGAAAACCCCTTATAGCCAGAGGAAAACAGCTCAGAACGCTGGGATGAGACCGATCCACTCCTGGGACTGCAGTTCCCGGCTGCGCCCCTAGGTGGCAGCCCGCCATGGGGAAGGGGAGAGCACAGGGTGTGCGACTCTGGAGTGACAATTTGCATGGGATCCCGGCGCCAAACACCACCCGCTGGTCAGGGGGGCCATGACACCTCCCTGCGTCACCCAGCAGGGGGGTGAAATGACCAGGGCCAGAATAGCCATAGACAGGCTGTGCCCCTCGCCCTGGCATCAGGGCGGCTGCAGGCTGCATTAGGGTGGGACGGGGGCGACCATCACTGGCTGTGACCAGCCCCTGCGCGCCTGAGCCGACTCCTGCAGCAGCAGCGACCCCCTGAGGCCGGACGCTCTGACCAGCCTCCCTCCTCCGCCCCCCCAGCTGCAGCTTCCTGTGTGATCTCACACCGCAGCCCCTCGCTGCCCTCCCCCCAGCACCTGCCCCACAGCCCCTCGCTGCACATCCCCTCCCTGCCCCCCCCCCCCGCCCTGGCTCCTCTCTCTCCAGCTGGATGCAGGACGAGGAGGGTCCCCAGCACTGAACCTGTGGCCCCAGAAGGGGCATGTGGGCGTCCCGTCCCCAGCCTGGAACCAAGGTACCAAAATCCACCCCCCCTCACCCACATGGGCTCCGTGTCACAGCAAAGGGGTGGGTGGGGGCTGCCACCCCAGGGCGGGGAACAGGGGGGAGAATCTGGATGGAGCCGGGATAGCACTGGAGATGGGCCAGCCTGGGCCGGGGGAGGGGGAGCGGCTGATTCTACAGACCCCTGCGCCCGGGAGTGACCTGACTCCAGATCCCAGCTGGGGGGAACTGGCCGTCGCTCCATTGGGGTCAATGGGGCAGATCCCAGCTGGGGGGAACTGGCCGTGGCTCCACTGGGGTCAATGGGGCCCGATCCCAGCTGGGAGGAACTGGCCGTAGCTCCACTGGGGTCAATGGGGCCCGATCCCAGCTGGGGGGAACTGGCCGTCGCTCCACTGGGGTCAATGGGGCAGATCCCAGCTGGGGGGAACTGGCCGTAGCTCCACTGGGGTCAATGGGGCAGATCCCAGCTGGGGGGATCTATCCCCAGGTGCCCCCGACCCTCCTGTCCCGCAGCATCTCCCGCAATTCTGCGCCGGTCCCCACGACTCCGGGCGCGCGGCTCTGGCTGGGATCGTGCTGAGCCGGGTGGGGAAGCACCTGGGGATAGACCCCCTCGCCAATCTCCCTGCGGCTCAGGCCCTCTGCCTAGGATCCTGCCCCCCGCCCCCGACTCCAAGGGGGCGTGGCCGGTGCAGGGAACGCAGGTTTGGGCCTTGTACATTTCACTCCTTTAGTCACGTGGGCCCCCCAGTCACAGCGAGGAGAAGGGGGTCACAGAGCAGATCCGTCTGCGCCATGTGTCCGTCTGGCCGCCTGGCGTGTGGGGGCCCCCGTGTTAGAAACAAATCCAAGGCCGTGTTTTCATTGCCTAGGGGCACCAGGCGCGGCTCCCCCCTCTGCCTGCCCCGCTCAATGCGACGGGCTCCCTGCTGGTGCAGTGGGGACGGGGCCCAGGGTTTGTGCAATTCAGGCTGGTGCAGGAAAGACCCAGGGGTCGTGTCTGGGGCTGAAGAAGCCGGTTCCCCAGCTGCCCTCGATCCCCTTGGGTCTCAGCCGTATTGTCCCCCCAGGTAGGCTCCTAACCCCCCTGGACACCGATGCTCTTCTCTGACCCCCCTTCTCTGATTTATCAACATCCTCCTTGACCTGTGGGCACTACCACTGGATACAGGACAGCAGCGGCGGCCGCACCAGTGCCGAATACAGAGCTCTGTGTCCTAGAGCAGCGGCTTTCAACCTGTGAGCTGTGGAGCCTGGGGTTCTGCAGACTATGTCTAAGATTTCCAAAGGGATCCGCACCTCGAAATTTTGTAGGGGTCCACAAATGTCAAAACATTTGCAAACCACTGTCCTAGAGAACTGGGGCTGTTTGCAAGTATACGAGTGTGGTGGTTCAAGGGGTGGGGGTGCAAATGTGTCTGGGATCAGGTCCCTCAGACGTCGTGCCAAGGGGGTAGACTCTTAGACTCATAGACTTTAAGGTCAGAAGGGACCATTATGATCATCTAGTCTGACCTCCTGCACAACGCAGGCCACAGAATCTCACCCACCCACTCCTGTATCAAACCCCTAACCTATGTCTGAGTTATTGAAGTCCTCAAATCATGGTTTAAAGACCTCAAGTTGCAGAGAATCCTCCAGCAGGTGACCCGTGCCCCACGCTGCACAGGAAGGCAAAAAAAACCCCCAGGGCCTCTGCCAATCTGCCCTGGAGGAAAATTCCTTCCCGACCCCCAAATATGTCGATCAGCTAAACCCTGAGCATGTGGGCGAGACTCACCAGCCAGACACCCAGGAAAGAATTCTCTGTAGTAACTCAGATCCCACCCCATCTAACATCCCATCACAGGTCATTGGGCATATTTACCGCTAGTAGTCAAAGACGAATTAATTGCCAAAATTACGCCCACTTTGCACTAATATAAATAACCGAAGGAGGAAGAGGGCAAAAAATTAATCTGGTACTAAGGGGGGGTGGAATCTTAAACTAGCAGGGAGACACCCCAGAGAGGGAGAGTGGAGCAGCTGGAAGAATCTGGGGGGGCAGATTAAAGGGGGTTATATGAACATGGAGTCGTGCAGCCTACTAACTACTAAGTTCTTGGCCTCCGTGATTTCTTGTGACAGTGAGTTCCACAGTCTCATGCCATGTTATACATACAGATATTTCCTTGGATCCAGTTTGAATATACTTATGAGTTTCATTGACTGTCCTCTGGTTCTTGGGGCAGAGAGAATAATTCCCACTCGCCCTTCTCCAGCCCATTCGTTAGACTTTTATCCTGTCCCCTGTATCCGTCTCCTCTCTAAGACAGCAGTCCCAGTATGGTAGTTGCCTTACAAATGAAAATGCCACAGACACTGAATATCTGATCTCAGAGACTCCAGTGTCAATCCGGAGTGACCCCACTGCAGGGCCGGATGCTGATCTCAGTGACCCTGGTATAAACCTGGAGTGACACCCCTCCGCCCCCTGAAAATCAAAGGAATCATGGCTGGATTCTGATCTCCGTGACACTGGTGTAAAATCCAGAGTGACCACTCTGAAGTTCCACCCGTGGACACCGCTTGGGAAGCTACTCCACTGGTTCCGATTTGCTACAGCTGATTCACACCAGCTGGGGATCCAGCCCCGCTAAGAGCTGCGGCCTAGTGACACCAGCTGGGGGTGGGGTCTGGGGGAACTGGAACTTGCCCATCTGGCCACCCCGAGTTGCGGCCACGCTGCGTGCCCGCTGACTGCCCTGCCCGCTGACGCAGGAGCAGCTGCTCAGCGTGTGACTGGGGTTTGAGGTTTGCCCGGCTGACACCCTCAGTCACAAGACGAGGCATTTCGAGGAGGGCACTGGCGGTTCTGGGAAGCCAAACCTCTTTCCTGCAGCCACCACAAGCTGCCCGGCCCAGGCTCCTCAAAGAGTTGAGGATCGGGCCCCCTGTGCTGCCCAGCCCTGCGAAAACCCTTTCCCACCCCGATCATCAACAGGTTTAGAGGAGGGTCGGACACTGATATGGAGAAGGCGACTTCTCAGCTCTTTCCCTTCCCTCACTGCCAGTGTAGGGTTGAGCCCACCCCGCTCCCTGCAGGAATGACTGGGAGTCCTGACCCTGTGGCACAGCTGAACTTTCTGTGCTCTTGCTGCTGCATTTCCCCATAGTCACGTTGACACCGTGTCTGGAAACCGTAGCTTCATCAGGAGCTCGCGCTGCAAAACCACGGAGTGCTGCAGAGCTTGTGGGGAGGAAGAGAGAAAAGAGATTAAAGAGCATCACGACCACAGGCACGAAGGGCTGCATCCTCCTTCTAGCCATCTGCAGAGGCTTTGCTGAGTCGAAACGCAAGAAACCACGTAGCTTTAGGACCCAACAATCAGACCAGGTGGGCATGTCACCCAGTCTCCTCTGGCCAGTGACAACTCCTCCAGAGGATGGGTCAAGGAATCCTGCAGCGATTGGCTAACCTGCCCCCAGGGAAAAAATTCTTCCTGACCACAATATTAAAGAGGTTGAGTTCTGCCCTGAAGCTTGAGAGTTATTTAATATATATTTTTAATATATTTAACAGTGGGCTCTTCAGTCGAGCAGAGAAAGGACTAACACGATCCAGTGGCTGGAAGTTGAAACTAGACAAATTCAGGCTTGAAATAAGGTGTACATTTTTAACTGTGAGAGTAATTAACCATTGGAACAATTTACCAAGGGTTGTGGTGGATTCTCCATCACTGACCATTTGAAAATGAAGACTGGGTGTTTTTTCTATAAGATCTGCTCATTTGGGCAAGTTCTCTGGCCTGTGTTATCCAGGAAGTCAGATTAGATTATCATAATGGGCCCTTCTGGCCTTAGAATCTATGAATGTGAAGGTAGACTGTGGAACTCTCTGCCACAAGATCTCACTGGGCCACAAGTTAGCAGCGTTTAGAGGAGGATCACACCTTGATTTGGAGAATGAGACTCTCCAGAGTTATAACAGGAAGGGGTTCACAATCGCTGTGGTT